GGCATAGATTATGAAAACATTAATTCATGAAAAACGTTTGAATCCATTCTTATGTCCGAGAGGGCTCCGCCAGATATTGTCCATAAGAATGGGTTGAATATAACTTAAGAATAATTAAATCTAAAACAAGGTATTAATCATTCAAAAACTATGTAATCATTAAAAACAAATTGAATTAAGCAATTGCCCAAAATTATGTAATCAAAATACATAATATATTAAATTCGCAAAGTACAGAACAATCAAATCATAGTATTCGAATTCGGGCTAAATCAATGCCCTAAGATAGGAATTAGCTACTCATGACGACGCAAGATATCATCTGTGGTGTTGTGGTCTTCATCGCCATGGACTACCAAAACTCTTTTTGGATCTTCTTCTTCAGAACCCTAAAAGCCGCCGTGAGAAAGAGATATGAGAGAGAGCAATCGATCCCTTTTTCTATGGCCTTCTCCTCTTCTTTTATAGTGGAGAACCAATCCCAATCCCCTTTGGATTGGTTTTCTAGCTTTTGGTAATAATTAGGCTCGTAAGGAAATAAAAAAAAAAATATGATTTTTGGTAATTCTCACATGTATTTATGACTTCCAGGACGTCCAGGCTCGAGCTCTAGAGTCCCAGGCTCAAGCTATGAGGTTCAGGCTCGAGCTTTTGGGTTCAGGCTCGAGCATCACTTGCCAGCAAATTGTTCCAACTTTGTAATGTAATTTTGACCCATTTAAAGTGCGAATCTCAAGATAGCTATTAGAGAGAAAAACATCAGCTTCGAGTCTTCTTTCTAGAGCCACTAAGTTTGCTCAATTTGGAGTTCTGAGTCAAAAGTTATGGCCAACACTTCGGGCTCGAGCACAGCTCAGAGTTTTCAGCCGTGCTCGAGCCCGAAGTGTTGGTGCTCGAGCTTTTTGATTCGTGCTCGAGCCTTAAAGTTCAGACTCGATCTCTGGGAGCAAAAATTGTCCAAAACATCTTTTTATTGATGGTGCTCGATCCTTTCTTCATAGTGCTCAATCCCAAGGTGTTGGGCTCGAGCTTTAGGTGTTAGTGCTCGATCCTTGAGGTCTGGCACGAGGTCTGGGAGCTTGGAAATCAATTCCTTCAAAATCCTACACTTGTGCTCGAGCTTAAGGGTCAAGGCTCGAGCACCCTATGGTAAGGCTCGAGCACCCTTTATTCAAGCTCAAACCTTAAGGTACAAGGCTCAAGCTTCAATGCCTTAGGCTCAAGCTTTGGATCTTGAATTATTCCAAACTTCACCATTTAAGCTCTCGGCTTGTTCTGGATGACCGGCAACAATGCAGTAAACTTCATTATCATTTTTTTCATCATAAAAGCCCAGTTTTAACTGTTTCTTTGGGAAAACACCTATAAACATGAAATAAACATAAATCAGTATAAAACATGATAGATACATCACTTTAGGTCTTAACATATGCGTATTTAGGGGCTCAAATATACATTATTCAACGCTCACCAGCTACCACAAGCCTAGCCTCCAAGGTCATTCATCGAGGTAAATTGGTGATTCCTAAAGGCAAGATCATTACCAAGAAGATGGAGATCAAAGCAGGAGGCAAGATTTAAAAGTTTACTCAAACCTTTAATATAAGTATTCAATCTATTAATTGAATGATACACCATATTTTATTTTTGCATAAAAATTGTCTTTGTGTGATGAATCAAGATTTATATATGAAATTCCCTCAGAAAGTTTTTTTAAAACTTGCACGTTTCCCAATAGTGGTATCAGAGCATGGTTTGATTCATTACTAGAGATCATGTTTTTATCAAAATCATCATTCATGGATCCAAATTATATATGCATATATATATTTATTGATGTATGTTGATGTATGATTTAATATGTTGATATATATTGATACATGATGATGTATGTATAATTGTAAATGAATGATGATGTATGTTTAGGCCATAGATGAAGCTTATAGGTTAATTGAATGTAATTTTTTCTTTTGATGAATGCAATTAAGGCTTTGATTTAACCGTTTGAAAGTTCAATGATGTAATTTAATTTTTTTCATTATATCTCAAATTGTAAATATTTATTAAAGTCATATAATATTCATCAAAGGATGTATGAAGCTTCAAGAAGGTCCAAAATAGTTAAATAAGGCTTCAGCAATTTTCTGGAAATTTTTCAGAATTTTTCTGGAATTTTTTAGACTTAATTTAATTTTTTGGGAATTTTAAATTTATTTTTCTGCAATTTCGGCGGTTTTCCGGTGACTGGAGTATCGCCGGCGGCGAGAACAATGTCGGAATAGGGGAGGCTGATCCAGTGCAGCACGGTGCACATGCGCCCGCACCTTCAGCCCTTGGATCATCATCATGCGGCAGAGGAGATCAGGTGCGGCCGAGCTCACGGTGCGCCTTAGCGCACCCAATCATCTAGTGCGTGAGGACCACGCGTCAACTAAATCCAGCACCACATGGCGCGTGCCAAGCATGTGCCACCTTCTCCTAGCGCGTGTAGGATTATATAGGTGTGTGGGAGTGCGTGTTGCGCATGTGGAGGCTGCTGGGACTAGTTTCTTGGCTCCTGCAGGTGCATAGACTTATGGTGGACTAAAGTGAATTTTAATATTATTCTCCATTATTTAAAAATAGCGGGAGTCTAATGGGGTGCAATAATTAAAGCGTTTAGTAATTATTTAGCATTTAAATATTATTCTCCATTATTTAACGAGAATTACTCAAAGAAACGCGTATATTGTTCGATAATCAATCTCAAAAATATGTTTGGGCCGAATACACTTGCGCCGGTTGAGCTTGCTTGACGGGCTGAAAGATTATCATTAACGATCTTGGGCTAAATGGAGACCTAATTTGGGTTTGACTAGAATTGGGCTTCTGCAATCCATCAAAAGATCTAAAGTACAATTTTATATTGCGGTGACGTGGATGACTCTTACTGGAGGGGAATTTTTTTCTCCATAGTTTCGATTGTCCTTTATTATAAATATGCCTGTAATGCAAGAGCAAAAATTTAACTTTATACAAATTTTCTTTTAATTTGTGGATTCAAAGTACCTATATGTGGATTCAAGATAATCGTGTTTCCTTGTAAAATTCTTATCGCTCCCTCTACGTCAAATTATTTTACGAATTTCATGTTCCCACCAATTATATTTTGAGGAATATCATCCTTGACTGAACAATTAACTTTTAACTTTGATTTCTTACAAGAAAAATGAAGGATTAAAATAGTTATTTATTTATTTTTTTATTTCCGCGTCGATGGCTGTGCCAATGGCTATGTCCTACCTAGGTAAGTGAAATTTACGGAAAAAAAAAAAAAAAAAAAAAACCTAATTTAGGACACACGGCGTTGCTGAAACATTTGTCAATATAGGAAACAAACAGTCATCAGTGTAGTGAAGAAACTTTTGACTGTAGGGAGTCCTAAAATTGTCAAGTCTTAACAACGTTAACACAAATATATTGGACGTAATTGGACGTAATGACTACCGATATATATATATATTTTTGAAAGGTAATGACTACCCGTATTGCGTAGATTAAATCCTCTCGTCTGCAGAACTAATTCCCTTGCTCTACTGGCTAAACATTACTACAAGTTTTCCTATATATATATATATATATATATATATATATATATATATATATATATATATTATATACAAGCCTACAAGATTTCCTCTGCATGTGTGTGCATACATATATATATGAATTCAATTAAACCACTGTAATTTGTCGAATCTTCAATGAGATACTTCACATTTGTAAATATTCAATCACACCCTCTACTTTTTCTAACACACATCACTCTCCCTTTCCTTTTCGGTCAACTGTCAAAACTGGTCAACGACACTTTTTATTTACATAAGCAAAAAACTAAATTTTAATGTCCAGAATACCCCTAAGTCATGTTTCGCTACAGACTACATAGTAGTTGAGTCCAGCGACGCTTCACTTAACACCTTCAGTTACAGCCTTTCCAGTGGTTAAGTCCGGCCATGCTTCAACCAACCACGACCCCACTTGACAAACCCGGTTCAATCCAATGAATCCTAACAAAGACGACCAAGCCACTCCAGTTCCGGCAAGCTCCAAGATTCGGCAAAACCCATATCAGTCTGACATTTTACCTCGTCGTCCATACGAACTGCACCGATTTTTGCATACTCAACAGTGATAGCTCCAAAGTTCGCGCGCCATGGTAGATCGCTGAGAGCTTCACTGGCGAAGATTGCACTGACCGGCAGCGACTGTCAGTGCCTTCATCACTGGTGTAATCGCCGGAGCAATGTCTAGTCGATGCTTATAGTAGTAACCTACTGCTCTAATTAACGCCGGGAACAACTGTGACGGTCGTTACCTTCTTCTACTTCACCCAGGTCACCGACGGCAACCTGTAATCGAATCTTAATGGCGACGCAAGCCCTTACCCGAACCAAATTATACCAGTCAAACCAAAACTGTTCCCTTAATTATGATTTAGGGAAAGAAAAATATACATATTTATTCTTGTGGACATAATGTATAAAAGGGAGGATCTTTTCCCAATACATCATTAACATCAAAGCTTTATGATTGACACATGAAAACTAAAATTGTGATTGTAATTTACTTATGAAAAAAAAAAAAATTGTGATAGTAATTTACATGGTTATAAAATTCTCCAAATTTTTTGTTTCGACTCTAGGAGATCCGAAGCTATACATAGTCACAGAAATTTTCCCATGCCTAACAGACCTGAAGAAGTAGAAAGATAAATTTGCATCCAAATTGCCATTGATATCATTCATAAAAGAACAACCAAATAGTCAAATACACTAGCTCTTATAGGACAAGCATATGATAATCTCCTGGATTTCTAAATATATCATGAATATCAACTTGACCTTAATTATATGGACTTAAAAATTTAATGAGTCACTTTCCAGTAAATTTAACAAACTTGATCTTTAAACACATACTTGAAGGGATTAATCGAAATAAATAAACTGAATTTCAAATCATTTAAATAAAATAACACCATCAAGTTTTGAGAAGGCAATAGATATACCTGGTTAAACAGTGTTATAATGTGAGGTAAATTTCCTTTATTCTCAATAATCCTGGAAGTGGAACTCTACTTTTCCTTGCGCCATCAAGGTTCTCTGGTATCAGAGATCTCTCGTTCAGCGAGAGTTTGTGTGTCTTCCTTTTCTGCTTTCGTTCTTTCGCGAGTTGTGCGTGTTGATTTTTTGTTTTGCTTGGGTGTTGGTTGGAGTGTTTGGTTGTTTTTGTTTTGGAATTCCTTTTTTCAGGGTTTTGTGTTATGCTGTTGCCGATTGATTGTTGAGTCGGCTCGTTGTTTTAGGGGCTGGATTTGCTGAGCCTCTGGGTTTTTCGGCTGTGGGTTTTTCGGCTTCTTTGGTTTTTCCGCTGTGGTGTTGGATCGGCTGTGGGGTTTTGTCTGTGGGGTTGGTATTGCGCCGATCTTATGCTGTGCCGTGTTTGGATTCCGGTGTGTTTGGTTTCTTCCGCCTTTTGCGAGTTGGTGTTGGGTTCTTTGGGGGTGCCTGCAGGCAAGGGTCCTGGTGTTTGCTTGACATTGCAATTTGGAGGCCAGACGGTCTGTTATTGCGCCGATCATTGTACCGGCTGTCTCTTTCCGGCGGTAGTCTTGTTTCTCTCTCGTGTTATCCGCTGATTTTTTGGTGCCCTAAGTTTGTTGGGCTGGGCTGTGTTTCTTTTGGGCCTGGTGGGAGTGTTTTCTGTTTTTTTACCATACTGGGTTTTTGGGCTGCAATGTATTCTGCCTGTTTTTATGGACAGCAGTTGGGCTCGGGTCATGGGCATTGGAGTTTGATCATGGATGTTCGTCCAGTTTGGCACCGGTATGTTCTCTATTTGCTCACTCACACTGTCTAAGTCGGCACTTGCCTTATTCATCTACTGCTCCGTCTCTTCCCGCCGTGCCAGACTTTTCTATGGGTTCAGCTATTAGAAATCCATCTATTTTAATTTGGAATTGCCAAGGTTTGGGTTCCCAAGTGACTGTGCAGCAACTTAAAAGCCTTCAGGCTCGACATTCTCCTGATATTATTGGCCTGTTGGAAACCAAGAATAGTTCTAGGCGACTTTTTTCTTTACAAAATTTGTTGGGTTTTTCAAAGGGTTGCTTGGTTGAGCCGTTGGGATCGGCGGGGGGCCTTGCGCTTTGGTGGTCCGATAATGTTCAACTGCAGGTGGTAGATTAAAATCGGTTTTCCATTACGGTTGTCGTTATTTCACCCGATTCGGGGTTCTTGTCAGTTTCGATGGGCTCAAAAATTACGGCAGTGGGCAAAGCTTAAAGATTTCAATTCTAAAGTTCGCATTCATCGGGCTACTGAGAAGCTACAGCAGTTAAAATCTCGGACTTCTGATTATTGTCATGCCGAGGTGGTGCAAGTGGAAAAATATTTACATTCGTGTTGGTTAGAGGAAGAACTATATTGGAAGCAGAAATATCGGGTTTTGTGGTTGCAAGAGAGGGATCGTAATACTAAGTTTTTCCATCTTACTACAAAACGTCACCGTGCTCGGAACACTATCTCGGGTGTGTATGATGAATGGAATCAGTGGGCCAGTGAGGTGCCTGCAATTCATTCTGTTTTCTTGCGTTCTTTTCAGAACTTATTTCAATCTTCCCGTCCTACGAATATTGCCCAGTTTTTGCAGCATGTTCCTCACCGGATCACGGAGGAGATGAATACCAATATTTTGGTGGCCCTGTCAGAGGAGGAAGTGAAACGGGCCGTGTTTTCCATGGCCTCCATGAAGGCCACTGGTCCAGATGGATGACTCCACTTTTCTATTAAAAGTACTGGGAGGTAATTAAAGTTGATGTGGTTCGTGCTATTTCTAGTTTTTTTTCCCTCGTGGAATCTATTATCTTGTTTTAATCACACCAATATTGTGTTAATTCCTAAAATCCAATCTCCTACACAGGTCGGTCATTATAGGCCTATTTCTTTGTGCAATGTTTCGTATTAGATTATAGCAAAAATTATGACTAATCATTTGAAAGAGATCCCTTATCAGTGAGTCCCAATGTGCTTTTATTGCAGGTAGACATATCACGGATAATATTTTGATTACTCATGAGCTGTTGCATTTTTTAAAAAATAAGCGAAAGGGGCGTAAATCTTTTATGGCACTTAAGCTTGATATGAGCAAGGCATATGATTGGATTGAATGGGGTTTCTTATTGCACATGTTGCACCGGCTAGGGTTGAATGATCATTGGGTTAAAATGATTTCTGCTTGTATTCTACTATGTCTTATTCTCTTAAAATTAATGGGAGTTATGTTGGCTTATTTTATCCTTCGAGGGGTTTGCGCCAAGGTGATCCTTTATCCCCATATCTTTTTATTATTTGTGCTGAAGCTCTTTCTATTGCCATTTTGCATGCGTAGCAAGCCCAGCTATTATCAGGCCTTCAAATTTGTCGGGGCGCTCCTTCTATTTCTCACTTCTTTTTTGCGGATGACTCAGTTGTGTTTTGTGCTACGATGGAACCAGAGGTTCGGGTTTTGAAACGTATTTTGGCTGATTATGAGTCGGAATCTGGCTAGCAAGTGAATTTTAGTAAATCATCTATCTTTTTCTCGAAAAATGCTTCTGGTTCAATGTGCCGTTTTATTAGTCACTGTTTGGGTTTGCAGTTGCTTGGCGGGAATAATAGGTATTTGGGTGTGCCGGTTCTATTGGGACGGTCTAAGTAGGATGTTTTTTAGTTCCTTCTTTCTAAACTACAGGACCATTTGTCTTTTTGGAAATCTAAATCTTTGTCAGTGGGCGGTAAGGAAGTGCTGGTTACGGCGGTGTTAACTACTTTGCCGACATATGTGATGTCTTCGTTTAAGCTGCCTCGCACATTGTGCTTGGATTTGATGAAGCATATTCGTGCATTTTGGTGGTGCAATACGGATAAAAATCGAGCTATTCATTGGGTGCATTGGGACCTGTTATGTAGGGGTAAGAGGAGGGGTGGTCTTGGTTTTCGGGACCTAGAGGCATTTAATTTGGCGTTTTTAGCGAAACATGCTTGGCATTTTCAGGTTCAGCAAAAGGGCCTGCTATTTCAGTTATTGAAGGCTAAGTATTTTCCTTCCTTATCTTTTTTGGATACGTAGCTGGGCTATAATCCTTCATGGGGGTAGCGGAGTATTTGGTCTTCTTAACCTTTATTGCGTTGTGGATTGAGATCTTTGATTGGGAATGGTCGTTCTACTTGTATTTAGAATGATCATTGGGCTCTTGCGCTTTCTCAGAAGATTCCACCTCTGGCACATGGTGTTCCATTTTTCTGGGTAGCTGATTTAATTGATTCTACTACCCGTACTTAGAAGGAGGATGTCTTTCGTATTTTGTTTTCTCCTCTTGTGGTTCGCGAAATTATGAAATTGCATATTAGTCGTTGGGATAAACCAGATGTTCTAATCTGGGACCTGACAAGTTTGGTTTTTTTTTTTTTTTTTTCATTCAGCTTATCAACTTGCTCTATCGATGACTAATTTTTTAGGTATTCAAGTGTCTGATGGTTCGTGGAATTCTATATGGCGTTGTCAGACTTTATCTAAGGTGCAACATTTCCTTTGGCGATGTTGTCATCAAGCGCTGCCCACTGCGGTTTCCTTAATGGCGAGGGGTTGTGGTGTGTCATCGTTGTGGTAGTACGGATGAAACTATGGTGCACCTGTTATTCTTGTGCCCTCATTCTTTACAGGTTTGGAAGCTGTCACCTTTCCTTTTTTATTTTTCTGATTCTAATATTTCTTCTTTTTGGGAAGGTTGGTCTTTTTTTATTCAGACAGCTGCAAATTCATCTGATTTTGCGGGGGTTCTTAGTTTGATTTCTTTCTGTGCTTGGGGTATTTGGAAGGCGATGAATCATCTAGTGTTTGAGAGGTGCTCTGGCGGCCTGACTTGGTTGTCGAGCGTGCGGTAGCAAGTTTTTGGGAATTTAAGGATGCCAGGTCTCATTGTTTTGCTTTCATCCGGCTTCATCCATTCCGTTGGTGGGTTCTTGGATTGTGCCTCCGGTTGGACGGGTCAGGTGTAATTTCGATGCTTCCTTTTCTAGGAGTATGTCATTAGGAGGGGGTGGGGCAGTTTTTCGTGATTTCCGAGGCATGGTTCTTCAAGCGGTTGTTTTCCTACAATTTCCTACCTCTACGGCATGGATATGTGCTTAGGCAAACGAAAGTTGCTTTTAAGCTATAGTTAAGGATATGTTCAAGGTTGGATGATTACCAATGAAACCATGAAATGAACTTTTGTAAAATAATTTGGTAACTTGAGTTCAAAGGGGGTTTCTTTTCTGGAATGGAGGATGTCTTAAGTAGAAATTATATTTTGGTTGTTTTGGTGTATTGTGTGTATTTATGTGTTTGATTTTTGTTATTCTGTGTTACATTTTGTTGTTACGTGTTTCATTTTTGTTAATTGGTTCGGGATTTGGAATAGGGATTAGTTGGGGCACAACTATGTCAGCCAACTATTATTGTAATAACATGGAGTAATAGCGCTATGTGCGCTAGGATTTGTGAATATAGGGTCATAGGATTGGGTAAAGATACAAACTAGCCAATCTATTAGACCTAGATATGCATCATTACGTTATGCTACTTGGGAAGGGATAGTTCAACTACCCATAAGAGTCAAATAATCTACAATGATTAGTTGGATATACTCTATGCTAAGTAGGGATTCATTTTTTACAACGTTATAAGATTGGTGGTTGTTAATGTTTTGGGGGATTCGTGAGGTTGTGGTAGGTAAATATCACTGTAATGCCGCTAGGGTTCAGATAGAGGATTTCGTGCTGGTAGGTACTTATTAGAATGACGCCGAGGGAGGATAGTGGACTGATGCAAGATTTATCAGTCTATTCGTGATCTACGCATTATTTTACGAGGGTGTCATTTGGAGGAGTTGCTAGTGTTGCACTCGGAGGAGGGACTAAAGTTTCTACATTGTACAAAATGTGAAAAAAAATTTTTAGGATTATCTTTCCCAACAATTAGCTGTTGTTCCGACATTTATGACTATATGGAGGATGGAAAAAGGTTTCAGATTCAATTGAACGAAGGCAAAGAAGGTGAGATCTAACACCTATATAAGGAAGCGGTGCACGGTGGGTGTGAAAAAGTCGTAATAAGTTGACTTTCGATGGATGGAATTACCGATTGATTTATTATCGATAAGTTTATCACTAACTGGTGATGCATAGATACAGCTGTAGGGTTAGCTTTTGACAATGCTTCGATGTAAGCAATGAGTGTAAACAAAAGCTAGTGGTACCAGACCAGTTGGTACTTCCTGTAGATAAATGGGAAGAAGGATGTAAGGACTGAGATTCATAACTCTTGGTTCTTTATTCATCCTGGTGGAAACTAAATGCTTCACGGTATGAAGTCGAGGTTTTTGGGAATCGGCGAGCAGAGGGACGTAGTATTTTTGTCGCCATCTTTAATATGATCGAGCTGGACTATTCGAGATTACTATATCCTTGTAGACATTCTTATGTTCAGGGGGAGATGATAGAACCTTTTCATTAGGTCAGGATTTTGGTTGGGATGTTGGATCGGTTCTATATCGTAGTTAAAGTTTCAGTCTGTATAACAATGACACGGGCTGTTATCACAGGAAATAAGGAAGTCAACTGCACATATTGGGGTTGATCTTCGTGGAGGTGTTACCTTACTCAGTTAGAGCATAAGGTACTGACGGACGATTGGTAGTTTTTGTTAGTGCTGTCAGAAGGAATGCAATTGCATAATCGGCACTTCTTCTCAATGCACTTGGGCAATTATAAAGGTGCATCAGGACATCGACTGTTTGGCCACGTGAATCGGATGATGTAAGACATGTTTAATTTGTCTATCTGGATTGGTTGTTTTACTTCTGTTATGCGGTTGCTATGCATGCTCAGACTATGGGTGATTCAGTTCTTTGTTAAGTTTAGAATCGGTATATGGTTTATTTGCCAAAGGCATGATTGAATTGTCGGCATGGTTGATTTGCAAAGGTTTAACACGATATACAAAAAAAAAAAGGGTATGGTTTATTTGCCAAAGCATAAATAACTATACTTAGGGAGGCATGGGTTAGTTGCCAAGATATGACCCAATCTGTTCGTACTGATATAGATGAGTCCACACGAGAACGGAAATGAATTTTAATGAAAATAATTCAGAGTTTCGTGAATTCCGAGGACGGAATTTCTTTTGTTAGGGGGGAAGAATGTAATACCCCTATTTTCCAAAAGGATAAAATTGGAATTTAAAGTTTATTTTTGTGCATTTTTAACTGTTTTTGTGTCTATTTGTTTATGTATTTGATTATTTCATTTTTATTGATTTAATTGTTAATTGTGTATTTAAATTTGCCTTATTTGATTAATTAGTCTATTTAATTTAATTGTGATTAGTTGCTTTGTTAAGTATGTGTTTTATTTTATTCGATTGGATGGGTTGGATTACATGGGCACGGTTTAATACTCATGATTTTGTATACATGTATTTATGGGGATATATGTAACTATTAATAGTTAAATTAGAATTAATTACTATTAAAGGAATATTATAAATTTAGGGTTTCGTTTAATCTCATGAGTTAGCTGACTTAGGATAATTTTATTTGTCCCGTCTCTTCTCAGAATTAGAATTAGGTCTTCTTGACGCCTATATAAATACAACAGTAGGTCGTCTTAGGGTTTTGAATATAACATAGACGATATTCACGTATATAAGGGTGTATGCTACAGAGAAGTACTAGAGAGTTTTGAGAGAAACAGAGAGAGTTTCAGAGGGAATTACAGAGAGGGATAAAAGGAGGAAGTCTAGGGTTTTGCCTTAGGCTAGGGTTGAACCAAGGAGGAGGAGGAGCAGTGGTTGGCTCGTGGATAAAACCAAGAGCAACAGAGGTGGAACAGTCGTCGGAGATTTCATCGGAAAATTCAGAGACGGTTAAGGCAAGTTGTATTCTCTCTCTCTCCCTTTGGCCTGTGTTCTATGCATTCGTAGATGTTCTCTAGGATCTTAAACGGTTATTAAACGGATCATGCATGCTTAGTATAGGTTAAATTGAGTATTTGTGTGTGTTAAAATTTAAACTGAAATTGTTCTTGCACGTTTGGTTTCACTTTTAACTCTGTGAGCATGTTGATACGGTAATGGTTTTGATGGTTCTATAATGCAAATTGTGGTATACAAAGGACTGGATTATTATCTGGATGTAAGTTAAGACTCTTAGGATCAGTTTTAATTAAGAACATAGGAGGTATAAGCGGCCAGAGACGACACAGAAACCATGGGAATTGCAGAAGGTTCAGAGGCTCTCAAAGGGGAGAGAGCCAGCTCTCCCATGGAGAGAGCCGGATCTAGGCAAGGGGAGCCAGTTTCCCGTTGTGGGAGAGCCGGCTCTAGGCTGATTTGAGCCTGCTCCAGGATTTTAGAGCAGGCTCTGTGGTTTTGGGTGTTACAGTGTGTGTTGCAGGAGCTCGAAAACTTAGAAAAGGCTCTTGAAAACTTAGAGAAAGCTCTCCCTTAGTTGGAGACGGCTCTAGGTAGCTTAGAGCCTTCTCCAGTTTTTTTTTAGAGAAGGCTCTGTGATTTAGAGAAGGCTCTGTGATTTTGTGCAAGACAGAAGGTTAATTACGTACTGTTTGGTTCAAACTGGCTTATTTTCAGCTGTGTTTGGGTTACTGTGATGGTTTTAAATCTTAATTCATGGAATATTAAAGCCCTAGGATGCATTAATTTATTTATATGCTAATGGTTTAACCGTGGGAAAATCCGAAGCAAGTCACAGGTTGTTTACAGACTTGATGGACCGGAAGGATTTAATTGTGCAAATGGTGTCTAGAAATTTAAAAGGGGTTAGAACATGGATTCTAATCATTGTACCATGCTACATTAGAGCCACACTTAATAAATTAATGTCTCTGAACTCATGGATTTAACCGTAGGAATGTATACAACGGTTCAGGCGGTTAACGGTTGGAAGAAGTTTAGTTGCCTAATTTAGGGTTAGCAATTTAACGGAGTATGTATGCGTTTGTAAATCTTATTTTGGTTGCACGCTAGGATCATTTAATTAACAAGTTTGATCTGTGCATATCTTGAATGTTAGTTGTTGAAATACTAAATTCGTTTCTGCAATGCATGGATTTAAGTTTGGAATTTTAATTGTTGTAATATTAAGCAGTACACTGCAATTATTTGGATTAGGGTTTGGACTTAAATTGCTGAACTAGTACTTAGGTTCTGTCAATCTAATTGGACGTTGGCCTGGAATTAATTGAAGAATTAAATATATATTTTCTGTCAATTACCGGGATGGATGTTGGAATTTAACTTGATGAACTAGTAGACTTTGTCTCGTTTAATTACATGGATGGATTTTGGATTTTTTTTAGTTGATGACTTGTTTAAATTCTGTGTTTATCAACTATATAGATAATGTGGACTTTATTTGATGTACTATATAAAATGTGGCATAATTTACGGATTATTTGTATGTATGCACCGGTATGGGATGGTGTCATACGGAGGGATGGATTAGGTCACAACGCTAATTCCTATCCATTCATACATACGAAATGGATTAACTAAAACAGTTAAATCCTACATGGTTTCATGTCCTGTCAACTAAAACAGTTGAACAACATATTGGATGGTTGTTTATACTTCTGTATTAAGAAGAATAGGGATTTAATTAAAATATTTAAATCCGGATTACAGGTTGTGTCTTGAGCGATGAACAGTTGACCGGCACAACATTGTATTTGGAGGGAACTTATATATATAATTGGGATAGGGATTTAATTAAAACACTTAAATCCTAATTTTATGTCGTGTCATGGCAACAAATAGTTGAGCGACACTACATTGGTTTGGATGGGAATTTATATAAATAAATTATGGTACCGCGATCTGAGCTTGAGTCTCATAGTCGACAGTTAGGGTGCGTATATGCGGTGTAGCTAGCTATGTTGGTTGAGGTATACCCTGCTAGGCTTAGGTAGTCATGCCCACTCAGGTGCGTATTGCATGTTGCCTTCTATTCAGGTTGAGACCCTCAGCATAGTTTAGTGAGAGTCCTGTAGTGTGGATATATATTTATCTATTACGGACTATATAGATATGGTTGAGACATTTAGGATGTATCTGCGTATCGGGTCTCTGTTTGGATTGTAGTTAGGATAGAACTTGTTCGTGAGCTTGACCCACTATTATTTTTCAGGTAACGGACGGTTCTAGGTCTTAAAGCTTGTTCGTGCTGAGCAGAGACGACTACTCATTCTACCGGCGACGTAGGAGGTTTCTTCATGGTTTAGCAGTGGACTTCTTTTTAGTTGTTCGCTTTC